AGCAGGAAATTCTCAGATTTCTGCACCAAGACACTTCTGACACATCTACTCCTTTTCTCCTAAAAACCACTGTGGTGTTCTGAAAAGATGAGTGTACTTTCATAAAGATAACTGGAAAAGCCTCCACAGATAAATTCTCTTTAATGACAGGGAAAAGAGGCACATCTCATGTGTTGATTTGTGTGCATTGCCATCATAAATGAGACATCTTTCAGGGAATAACTTCTTTGTTTTAGGCTTCATCTTATCTTGGGATTTCCCCCTTCCAATTTAAATCAGAGCAAACTTCTGATACTCATTCAAGGGTAGATTTGAATTGATCAGCCTTTTATTTTACTTGAAGTATTAATATTACATTTGATTTATAGTCAGGTTGATTCTGAAAAGAATTTAGTGACAAAGCAGCACACAAAACTGTGAGCACCTATGCCTGTATTTCATAAACAGTAAGTCACAACTGCATAAATAGACTCTTTGAAATAATTAATGCTCTCATTTACAGATCTGACACATTTGCAATTAGTTTAAGAGTAGGATTAGAAAGGCTCTGTTGAAACACTCTCGTTACTGTGAGTGAACATTTAGGCACCTCTGTTTTATGGAAGAGTTAAACAGGGATTTATGACAGATTCTTGTATACTCCATTATGGCAAATTGTAAATCACTAATAGGCATTACAGCAAAGCATTCTTCTGCTTTGCTGACCTCAGGCCATATGCTTAATACAAGTAAAAGTAAAAAATTTTACTTAAGTAAAAATCCCCCCCAAAAAACCAAAAAATCAAACACAATTTCATTGACAAAAGCTTTCTATGTAAGTACAGAACTCCTGGGAAGGAAGTTACTGGGCCCTAGTTATAAAAGAAAAACATTAATAGCAACAAAGGGATAATTTGAGGCACGCTGAATGAATCGCTGGGCTCAAGATTCTAATCCTGAAAATGCAAAATTATATTTGAGGGAGAAGCTATTTAGTCAATCAATTTTAACAATGGATCTGATGATTTGGGTTCACCTTCCTATTACTGTGTGAGTAAAAAAAAATTATAACGGCATACAGACCTGGTTTCCCCCAGCATTATGACATTCATAAACTCCAACAACACCATCTGCAAAATGGCCCAATGTGTCAAGGCAATTGGTACCCTGCTGCAAAGCCCCAAAAGCTATATCTTGATGATCAGGTACCCTAAAACAAAATCAGAAATATCCGCTTAC